ACCGTACAGTTGAAATCTCCACCTATGAGAACAGGTCCATCATGTTCGAGTTTTAGCTCACCGAGCGCGGTGAAGAGAGCCTCGCGCTGATTTCGATCCGTCGGTGCGTACACATTGAAGAGCAAGGCCCGATCCCCCCTGATGCCCATCGTCATCGCCATCCAGTGGAATGTCCATTCCGCTTCCCAGTAGGGTTGATGTTCGAGATTTGCGCATGCGGGCTTACAAGAATTGCCACGCCCGCCTTGCGACCGTCGCTTTGACTCCACCATGAGCAGATTCCTTTGGCTTGAGTTGGTTCGTACCCCCAACTTTGACTATGTATCCTCGTCAACGTCGGAGTCTCTTCGCTCGTCGAATGCGTTTCCTGGAGGAAAACGACCAAGTGCTGTTCAGCAACGGAAGTTTGCCTGAGATTGTCGAAGCCCTCTTCGATGAGTTTCATCTTGTTCTGCATATCTGGGACATTCTGAGTGTGGAGTCCAATTGTCGTTTCTGTTCGGCGTATCCCTCGTCTCGACTTTCGTGCTCCCTTGCGAAGGTATCTGCTTGCCTTGGCTTGTTGCGCCTGAAAAACTTGATTCAGCTGGTCTTGTCTGCCTTCATCATCAATCAGGTGATAGAAGTCGGTCATTAGTGGCTCGACCGGAACTTGTATCTCCTGAGGGCCTAAGCTATGGTCGCCCACACCTCCGGCCTCATCTCCCGTGAGGAGCCTTTAGCATCTTGTGTGACCTTCACTAGAATCGTTTGATTACAGCGATGGTCAGGTCGGGCCGACCTCCATCTGTTGGGTCAGCTGGATTCCAGCCTTGATAGCAGGCCTCCAATCTTTCTTATCCAAATTAGCCCGAATAGCCGCGCGTACTTGATCGCTCTCTTCAAAAGCCGATGCGATATCTTCCAGACAAACATCCTTCCTCTCGTCTTCACCCACTGGCGTCGGGTCAAGTCCGCAAAGCGGTCTCCAAGAGAAGATTATGTTCGGCAGGAAGCTGGCTAAAGCCCATTCCGACTTATTCAACCGAGGTGTGCATATCCTGAGAGCTGTAGAAACTCTTGCTTTCAGTCGCTTCCCACCTGTCCGAGCTAAATGCTAGATTCCATTTTGCTCCGTTTTGTTGGTCAGCGCTATCAATGGAGGTTAACCACTCTTTGATGTTTTGCTTGTCCTCTTGCTTCTTCAGATGCGTATCGAGGCGGTGAAGGTAATCGACCTGGGCTCTGACCGCTTGATGTATACTTCAATTGGTCAAACACTTTTTCCCGATCACTTGGGCAGCAAGATCAGGATAAGGAAAGGAGTAGAAGAGTTGCTTAAGATGGCCGAAAACGGCTTCATTAGAAACGCTCAATGTCTTCAGATCCCAGAACTTTGAGACTTCCATCTTCAAACCGTTGATACGGCCGCTCGCCGTCCATTCCTTCAGTTTCGTGGGATTGGCTTGCATTTTCCTCTTTCTCCGCTCCTGATCTTCGTTGGTCCAACTTTCTTGGGCCTTGAAGCCCAAGGAATCGTAGGTATGCTTCGCGATCTTCTCTTCTCACCACTCC